GAGAAACATACTTGACAATCTTGATATATACAGAGTGATGGCGAGGAGGTTTGTAGAGCAATGCATGCCATCAGTGCATCACCCCACTGACGTTTCCCTCATCGTCATCATCATTGTGCTCCTCCTCGTGATCGGGGTCCATGGGTTGCTGGTATGAGCTGAGGTCCATGGCCTCGGGGTCACCCGTCTCAGTACTGCCTGTGTGGCCATCTCCTGAGTCGGTGGCCTCCTCGAAGGGGTCTGCTGTGGTGACCATAACCTTTGGTCCCATGGGTCGAGAGCTAAGAGGGTTTACCCTCCTGCTGGGGCAGTCTCTGGCCCAATGGCCGATACCCTTGCATACATGACAGGTGTTGATACCTGATGGAGCAGGGCTTCCTTGCTTCGAGGGTTGGGTGGGATGATGAGGAAGGGGTCGGTTTAGGTTTTGTATAGTTGCTTGTGTAGTTGCTTGTGATGGTGATCGAGCTGGATAAGGTTGAGTGGGTTGTCGGATGGGGATTGAACTTTGATTTGGCCGAGACCCAGTTCTTAGTGGAGGTGACGTGGCATTTGGGAGTGAGTGTCTAGCCGAGGACTGCTGTAGTAGCATCCTCTGTCGATCGATCTCCTCAACCTCTCGATACCACTCCCATCTCTTCCCAGGTGGATTCCTCTCGAACTTCTCCTGTATGCTGCGAGTGAGACTACCTCTGAAGAGATCAATCACTAGCTCATTGTCATCTAGGTTGACCTGTCCTTCCAAGTCTCTGAACCGCTCTACATGACGTGTGGCGGCACCAGGAGTATCACTTGTGAGTCTGAGAGCCAACAGCTTGTTGTATGCCTCCATCCTAGCATTGTGTGGGTTGAACTGCTCTGACAGTCGCTCTGTGAAGTAGTGCCAATCATTGAACAACCTTCCTTCTCTAGCTCTATCAATACGGAGCTTGGAGGTCCACCACTCTCTTGCTGTCCCTTCCAGTTGAGCACCCATGTGATTGATCATCCTAGACTGCTCATACACCTGGTTGAACTTAAACCATGCTTCGGCTTCTAGAATGAAGATCTCCATGTCTCGGGGATTGAACTTTGGAAAGGGGGTGGCAATGGGCTTTGACCGGTTAAGCTCTGCCATGATGCTGGTATCCTCCTCGTGGTCCAGGGGGTAAGGGTCCGTCCTAGTCCTGCTGTAGGGGTCCAGCTTAGTCTTGACATATCTTGGCCCAGTAGGTGAAGCATACTTCTCATAGTTGATGTCCTCCTGCTCATCCAGGTTGAATGAGACTGATCGTCTTGGTCGTGGAGCTGGAGTAGGAGTATGTGGGTCTCCTATCATAGACTCATCTCCTCCTCCTGCTTGGTCTTCTGAGTGAGAGAGGTCCATTGTCTCCTCCCTGCTCAGTTGAGCTCGTTGTAATCGTTCCTCTTGATGACCCTGTCTGGTAAGCTCTAGCTGTGCTTCCAATAGAGTGAGTAGTCTATCGAGCTTATTGTTGAGGTCTGGGTCCGTCATGGTGATCGTGAGGAGCTGCTTGAACGATCCACTCTAATGTCAGGGGTCTCGCGCCTGAAACCCAGATCGGTCTGTCGAGATACTCGGTGACTATTAAACTGTGTGACAGCTATTGTCTCGGTATCGGTGACTATCAAGTTGTGCAGTGACAGCAGGTGGCGTTCGTTGTATATACTATCGTAGGTTTCGGCTGACCTCTGTGGACACTCCGTTCAGGGGTAGCTCGGCACGATCAATATCAATGTTATGATGACACCAAGGTCTGGTGTGGGTGTTGATGATGATGAGGTTGATGGTGTTGGTGATGAGATTGGTGATGTCGATGATAATGAGGTTGATGGTGTTGATGATAAGATTGGTGATGTCAATGATAATGAGGTTGATGGTGTTGGTGATAAGGTTGGTGGCGTCAACACGAGTGTCCAGTGTGTTGACTTGATGCTTTGAAGTGATCCCCGGACCGCAGTGGACTACTGCCTTCGGTTCTATCTATATCCGGACCGCTAACCTGCTATGGGCGCCTTCGGACGTCAGGTAGTGGTGATACAACACACACACTACGATGAGGAGCAACCTTGATAGATTGCTGCTATGCTGACTGTAACTAATGAGTACTTGTGTTTCTAAAGTATTGACTAGTTGTATGGTGAGTAGAGTGGATGGGGATCCACTCGACCTATGATGATGAGAAAGCATGGTTATATACCTCTTCACAGCATCGCCAGCGATGCTGCTCCTGCTCTCTCTCCAGAGAGTACTTTCTTCATCGAGTACTGCTCAGGGGCCTCTCCTGCTTGGCACCCCTGTGCCTCTTGAGTGGTGTCGACTCCTTCGACACTGCTCCTCCTCCTCATGACCTGTGTCGACTCCTTCGACACTGCTCCTCCTCCTCATGACCTGTGTCGACTCCTTCGACACTGCTCCTCCTCCTCATGACCTGTGTCGACTCCTTCGACACTGCTCCTCCTCCTCATGACCTGTGTCGACTCCTTCGACACTGCTCCTCCTCCTCATGACCTGTGTCGACTTCCTGTCTCTCGAGCCCCTGAGTGGTAACCATCTGAGCTTGGTCCTCCTCATGGCTGCGCCTGCTCTTTGAGCTTGGTCCTCCTCGTGGCTGTGCCTGGTCCTCCTCGCATATGGGCTCAGTGCTCCTTTGCATGTGAATCCATAGGAGTCCATGGTCTCCATGGAGACTGCACTATGACCATGCTCTCTACTGGTATCGACTAGGTCTTCGATACCTGTGCTCTGTCCATATGAACCAGTGACCCTCCTGCTTCTTGAGCATCCAGGCCCATGACAGCAAGCAGGAGAGGCCCCCTGAACAGTACTCGATGAAGAAGGTACTCTCTGGAGAGAGAGCAGGAGCAGCATCACTGGCAATGCTGTGAAGAGGTATATAACCATGCTTTCTCATCATCAAAGGTTGAGTGGATCCTCATCCACTCTACACAACCATCATAACTAGTTATCACTTCAGCATAAGTATATATTAGTTTCAGTCAGCATAGCAGCAATCTATCAAGGTTGCTCCTCATCATAGTGTGTGTGTTGTATCACCACTACCTGATGTCTGAAGGTGCCCCATAGCAGGTTAGCAGTCCAGATATAGATAGAACCAAAGGCAGTAGTCCACTGCAGTCTGGGGATCACTTCAAGCATCAAGTCAACACACTGGACACTTGTGTTGACACCACCAACCTTATCACCAACACCATCAACCTCATCATCATCAACACTCACACCAGTCCTTGGCATCATAATAACCTACATATTGATATTGATCGTGCCAAGCTACCCCTGAACGGAGTGTCCACAGAGGTCAGCCAAAACCTACACTAGTATATACAATGAATGCCACCTGCTGTCACTGTGCAACTTGATAGTTGCCGAACAACTAGCTCGACAAGACAGTTACTGAGACAATAGCTGTTGCACAGTTTGATAGTCACCAAGTATCTCGACAGACCGACCTGGGTTTCAGGCATGAGACCCCTGACATTGTTGACCATGGAGAGCTGCCTGTCAGTGAGGGTCAGGCCAGTGGAACAAGAGGCCTCACAGGAGACATGTGACTCAGGGTTATGAAGCTTGACAAGGTGCTCCAGCTTGAGTTGATCACGTTCAATGAGGAGGACCACTTCGACCAGGACCCAGGCAAAGGAGCATGACATGGAGAGGGGTGGGGACTCACCAGCTGGGGCTATGGGTTGGGAAACAGCAAGGTCAAAACCCATGAGGTGGGAAGGAGGTTGGGGTGGGGCAAAAACTGGAGATGGGTGGGGTGCCAGCTGGGCAGCAACAGTTGGCACCTGAGATGTGCAGATGCTGGCCAGGAGCTCGCTAAACTGGCCATTGAGTCATTGTTCAAGGTGGCGAAACTGCTGCTCAACCTGTAGTTCCAGTGCAACCACCAATGACGCCGAGGCGAGGGCAGGGGGCAGCCCAGTCAAAGGGGATGGGAGGGGTGCTTGCAATGTCTGCAGTGAGCAAGAGCAGGAGCAGATGTCCTGGGATGGGAACGACTTGGAGTGTGGGCAGCTGGGAGCACTGGGGTCCATGGTGAGCAGGGTCGGGGGGGGGAGGTATGCCCCAGCAGGAAGTACAGGCTTGCACTTTGCCACCTCATCAGCCAATGAAATTCAGTATGATCAGCTGGATGTGTTTGCAGCAGTAGCAGTGCTTGCTATCCAACATGGGAAGCAGAGGCCACACCTGCCCAAGGAGCAAATGAGGACAGAGACAAAGGAGAGGGAGGAGTGGAGGAAGAGAGAGAAGAAGGATGAGCTTGAAGAGCACTGCACAGAGCCAGTGTGAGGGTGAGATGATGGTGAGAAGGGAGGAGTGGTGAGAAGGGAGGAGAGGTGAGATGAGGCAAGTGATTGATGAGCTTGCTCACTTGCTGCGCAGCGAACGCGCGCAGGTCACGTGCCCCGTACTCCGATCACTGAAATACGTGTCTGTACCAAACACGACTCTAAGCCGTTCAGCATCGGGCCGGTTCGGTTGTTCAATCTGCACCCGCTCATTCCAGGAAGCAATCACTCAACTCTGTACGCAAGGCCATCCAGCAATTGCCAAGATCTGAGATAGATCGGATTCAGTAAAAAAAGACAAACAAGAGAGTGCGCCAAAAGGTGACGAGCTAAGGCTAGTGCTAAAAAGAGTGTGTTTTATTTTGTTTGCGAAAGTGAAGCTTTGCCATACCTCGAAGAGTTAGTTAAAGTTTTCGTGTGATTGATGATGATGGTAGTAGAGAGAGAGCGAGAGAGCGAGGAGAGAGAAGGAGTCTATATATATACAAAAGAAGAGCGGCAGAGAGCCGCACTGACTGTGGAACATAACAAAGCATTTGTCTTGAGTAGGTTGTGACACATGTGGTCCGTGCTCAGATGCTCAGGCCTTTTACTCGGCCGTAAGCACTACCTTCACTGTCTCTACGCTTTGTGTAGCTTTTATATACTTTAACTGAGTTGAGCCTCTTCGGAGGCAAATTGTGTCTTTAGAAAGAGAAACGCAAAAGCGCAGGGTTGAGTGCGACAGGGTAAAGGATGTGAAGGATCGAAGTCAGCAAAAGGGGCCAGAAGATGAAGAAGCCTTGGATCTGCCACTCCAAAGGCAGTACGTTGCTCAGCTGGAACACGATCACAGCGGCAATGCAGGCGATCGCAAGGATCAAGGTCTTCCAGAACCTCTTCAGGATGATGGGGATCTCAATGAAAAAGTTGCTGTCCTCCAAGTCCTTGATGGTGGCACCCCAGCTCATGTTGTAGCCAACAAGGTGTGCTAGCAGTGCGGTAAGCACGTGGTACGAGAGACCACCGAAGAAGATGAACATGTAAGGGATCCAGATGACGTGCTCCTTAATAAGGGGGAACAGACCGTCGACCTTGGCACGGTACCTTGCAAGGATCTGGCCGACGTTACCTCCTGCTGTGAACACAACCACCACAGCGACCCAGATCTGGAAAGGAGCAAGGAACAAGGGCAACAGGCTCGGGTAGAACCAACCTTGGACGAGGTAGAGAGCAAGGGTCAGGGGGAAGGCACAAGCTATAGCGTAGTACGAGAAGATGTAAGAGCAGGCAGAGAACTTGTAGTGCACCGGCGCGTTGCTGAACAGGAAGGTGCGGAAGAGCTTGGTCAACGGTCCACGGTAAGGCCATTCCCAGATGCGGTGGAAGATGAGCTCCGAGCAACCGAAAGCGTACTTCTGCCATCTGTTCAGCTCGTCGTCACAAGTTAGCGACACACCCTCTTCGAAGCCGTTGTTTGAGTAGGTAGCCCATCGGGTGATGTAGCCGCTCATCAGCAGACGAAGGGCCATGTCGAAATCTTCAGATACGTGAGATTCGGACCAGATCTTGCGAATACCATCCTCAGGGTCAATGAAAGAGGCTTCCTGCATTGCCGACCATCGAAGAATAGCGTTGTGCCCCATGAAAGGAGCCATGTCTCCTGCAGCGACCATGTACGAAATGGCAAAGTTGACGAGACGAGTGAAGAAGGAAATACCAAGCTCGAAGTAGCTGTCTGAGACGATCATGACACCGGAGCAGTGCTGTAAAACACCAACGTCGGGGCACTGGACCATCTCAGAAGCAGCATCGAGCAGGCAGTCCTCTGGAACACGAGTATCAGAATCGATGAGGAGAACCAAGTCGCCAATTCGAACGTTGCCCCGGGCTTGAGCAAGAGGGTGAAGCTCGGGGAGGCACTTTTGCAAGCATTTGTTGTAGAGATCCGTTTCATCGGCTTCAGTCCAAACGGCAAGTGCTTGAGGTGTTTGGCGATGGTGCTCGGATATGGTCTTCTCCACAGCCAGCGAGAGGTGGCAAGTGAAGTTGAGGTTCGAAGCTTTCTTGAAGCGACCCTTTCGAAGGTAGCCGTCTATGCCGTGACCTGGTCGTGCAACCCAGCCGATGTTGTTCTTCTCGTAAAACTCGTGGCGGAGAGCCTGTTCAGCCTGGGAGACGAGTTGCATACCGTCTTCCGAGACAATGATCGAAGCAGTACCACCTTGAAGCTCGTAGGTGCTGATTGCCTTCTTGACCGACTCAATGGTAGGGATAAGCACACCTTCCATCGACTCCTTGTAGACTGGCATCTGGATCGTGATGTGAGGAAGCTGGCTACTGATTCGTGTGGGAGGCTTACCCGAATAGTATCGAGAGTTCTGGTGGATCTGACGGATGGGACCGAGGATCTGGAAGATGACACCGATTACATTGTCACAGAAGAACATGATGACGGGGAACATCAAGATCGTGAGAGCAGCTAGACCCATCTTGGCCCAACTGCCGTCAATGAGTGAATACTCGAAGAGCTTCGAGATGAAGAGGAAGCACAGAACCACGTCCAGACCGACAGCCAGACCGTGCTGCAGCGGAGCCTGGTAGTTGAGTGGTCTCTCCTCCGTAGCCGGCTTCTCTTGCTTCTCGGGATCGCTGCCCGTGTTGTTGCCCCAAGGCGCACCGGTGGCAGAGCGGGCACTTTCTGGCGGGCCGTTGAGGGCGTGAGACTCGGAGAAAGGGTTCGAAGGAGTAATCGAGTGAGCCTCAGAGCCTGCACCAGCACCGTAGAACGGTGTGCTGTGACCTGCACTCGACAGGGATCGAAAGCGGGCCTGGTTCTGGTTGAATTCGCTCATAGCCGTGTCAATGACACTCGAGCTAGAGGCAGCCGCCACAATATTTCTCGAGTTGTTGGCGAACGAGCTTCTCCAGACGAACTTGATCATCTTCTCCTCGAGGTCTTGTGCACGCTCCTCGAGCTGCTCGACGTGATCGCACCAGGTGACCACAGTATTTTCGCGGCGAATGAAGCAGGCGTTTTGCGCTTTTCTCGCACCAGCGAGCTGCTCCATCGTATCGACCACCTGGATGTGTTGAGAGGGAGTGATCGGGATCTGCTCGGTACCAGGAGCTAGTCGGGAGTTGATGGCAGAAACGACAGAGGAAGTGATGGTCATGGCAGCCTCAACGTTGAGAATCGCCACGGCACGGCAGAACAAGCCGAGTCGCTCGTCTGTGGCCGGACAAACCACATACTGTCCCTTGGCGAATCGCAGAGCGACACCGCTGCCAATGTCTGGGTTCTCGCAGAAGAAGTTGCGTCTGCTGCAAGATTTCCAGAGATGGGCAGCCATGATTTGGTAGCCATCGCGGGCATCGATCCAGGCCTGGTCTGCGCTTGGAAGGATACCATTAGAGTTTGAGCATTCAGGTCCCTTTTCCTTGTACTCGGACTTGATCGACTCTGCGTATTCGCTCAGCTGGCCTGCGCGACGCTCGGACATGGGAGGGGTTTCAGGCGGGCTCGAGGCCTCCCTTGAAGGGAGGTGCTCTTTCTTGCGGAGGAGATTGAGCATTCTTGGAATTGCTTGGTGCCTTGAGATGGGAATGGGGGGACGGAAGGAGCGAGAGGGTGGGGCTAGTGCCAGCTTAGCCAGGAAGGTGAACTGAACTTCTTGCAGTGCTTGTTGGGAATACGAGCTCGAAGCTGCGTCTGTCAGCAGTACTTTTCAGCGACAGTCACGTAGGGCAGAGAAGGGGAATGAGAGGAGGGAGAGTGGGAGGTGTTGGTGATGGGGGGGGGATAGACAACAGTTCTCGAAGGAAGCATTGCTACTTTAAAAGAGTTCGAGCCCGACATCTATCAAGCAATTGTGAGGGTAGCAGAGAAAGAGAGAGGTGGCCGCTGTGAGATACTCTTGAGAAGAATACTGGGACTTGCACCACAAAGCCTTCTTTCTACGCCGACTGAAGGGTGAGGGGGGCGGGAGGCGTTTTCCAGAGAACAAGGTACGCTCGACAAGACTCGCCGTCGGCCTGCGTTAGGGGGTGTCGGTGCTGAAAACCCAGAAGATGGAGATTAGCTTGCTGCATTGATTGACCCAGCTTCTCCTTGTTCTTTGGCAATGCAATGGTGTTCTGCAAACAAACCCCTGTGAAATAAACAATAGCTATTCATTATAAAGAAGGCCTCCTACCGCAAAGCAGCAGCGAGAGCGAAGCGAACTGGCAAATGCACAATGAGCGAGCGAGAGGCAAAACGTCTGGCCTTTCCAACTCGGAACTGTTGGTCGCAACCAGGCCTGTCAGCATTAAGCCAGCTGACCTCGGTCTGGATACAACTGTTCTAGGCCAGCAGAGCTGTACACTTAGGCTCATTCGGCAAACGAAAGTTCGAGGCACATCCGCACATTGACCGCCAGACGCTTCTCCCCGCAGCTGCTGCTCTAGATGGGCAAGATCGACAGGCGAGAAGCCTGAAGAGTGGAGCAAAGATTTGTCGGACTCAGGTCAATGTCTCAATGTCTCAATGTCTCAGTTGATCATGAAAGAGTGGGAGATTTGCGGACCAGTGGCCGCATTCCGGCCTCCTCGTCGGCACAGTATGGTCTGAGCCAGAACACGGAACAAGACTCACCGAAGCAGGTTGAGTGAGACATTGTATGGATCACTTGTCCCTTGGTCTCGCCATGGTGATGGATGAGTGCATATAGCTGTACTTTTCTGCGAGGGAGGGGGCTGAGCCCATCCACTCTACATCTTACTATATATATATACTTATCTTATCTTATCTGGCTATAAGCGCAGTAACAGTCTTTCCTCAGTATTGTCTGCAGTTGCAATCCAGGCATTGCAACTACTTGGCGTGTGTGTTGTATCACCGCTTCCAGACGTTGTCGATACCTCCATTGCCACTACGGCACCTCAACCAGTGCCATCATAGGACTGTCCGTGTTACATGCGCAGGCTATATGCGCGTTGTAAGGGTGTAACCAAGTGGATTGCGGGAAGGAGGGTCTCGAGGGAAGCTAGTTTAAGTACTAGCTTCCCTACAGACCAAAGATAGCAATCGAACTTTTCTTGTGCCGCATCTATTCGCCCGAGAGAGTCGCCCAGGCGTGACAGTGCGCCCATCAGGAACACTCGTGCAAAGAGCCGCGAGCAGAAGGGACAGAGTACGAGCATCTTCCAACCGGAAGGATGGACAGGGTAAATTCAAGTTCGGTGGGCTCGCATGACGATGTCAATCAACTCCGCCAGGCGTATATTTAAGCCCAAAATCCAGACCCAGGAATCAATGTGTTTGGTCCGGCTTTTCAAACGTCAGTTTCATAAACTAGCTTTTTATTCATATTTTCCGTTCAAAAAAAAAAAGAAAAAAGAAAAAAAAGAAAAGAAAAAGAAAAGAAAAAGAAAAGAAAAAGAAAAGAAAAAGAAAAGAAAAAGAAAAGAAAAAGAAAAGAAAAAGAAAAGAAAAAGAAAAGAAAAAGAAAAGAAAAAGAAAAGAAAAAGAAAAGAAAAGAAAAAAAAAAAAAAAAAAAAGGTTGGATTTGATTTATCGACATTGGATATGGTCCCTGATCATCGATGCCTTTGCCTCCCCGCTGCAAATCATACACATACATACACACACATCTCAGAGATAGACACTGTCACTGCACAGATCAATGCCTTTTCAAGCTGAGGTTTGCCCTTGTCTCACCCAAGCCCGCCTCGCTTCTTCCTCTTGTCCGAGTCCGCGTGCGCCTTCGCCCGAGTCGTGTTCCTTCCAAGCTCAGGTAGGCTCGTGTATGGCCGACAGTGTTGCGCGCAAAAAGAGCAGACTATGAGAACTTATCGATGTGAGCTCTATCAACGTGCTGTGCCCGAACTCCATCCTACCCTCGCCGCCGCTGCTGTTGTTGTAGCGGACAAAGAGCAAACATAGCCGCTTCGCTTCAAACGAATCGAGCGGCGTTCTCAAATCTTGTCAGCTTTCCGCCTCTTTCACTTAACCCTCCAGACCCTTGCCATCGCCTCATAACGGCCTTCCGTCGACATTTCTCTTTCTTTCTTTCCCATCCACTCACTCCAAAGTCAACCTCCTCCTTGCAAGAAAACTGCAAGACCGTGTCCTGCAAGAACGTCTCTCCCCCAAACTTAGCTTCGTTTTCAACCTCTGTACAGCAAAAAAAGTCAAGATGAACCGCACTGTCGAGCTTCCACCCCGAGCTTCGGGCGAGGAAGAGATTGAGCAGCTTCGCGAGCTCCCCACGCCCAACAGCGAGGTTTCTGGCAGCCAAAGTACGCACGGCAGCTACTTTGGTAGCGCCGGTCTCACATCTCCGCGCACACGCAAGCACAGCTTTGGTGTGCGTGAGAATGGCTCCATGTCCATGTCCGCGTCTGGCTCGATGCCTTGGACAGTGAGCAACAGCTCATCTTTCGGAAGCAACAGCAACTCGCACTCTCCTGACCGTTTCTCATGGTCTGGCCACCAGTCTTCCCACAGCTCGATCGGTGGCGGCGACCACGGCGACGGTGCTCAACCTAACAGCTTTGACAGCTACAGCAGAGCCTCTGGTTATGCAAGTCCCTCGGTAGAGAGCCACTACACAGGAACCATGACTCCTGCTGCTGGTCTGTACAACGCTTCCGCCAACACTTCGTTTGCCAACGTAGCACTCAAGTACCGCAAGTCTTTGGCACAACGTGTGCTGAAGGAAGACGAGAAAGTCGAAAAGCCTTGGTTGGAAGACAAGAAGCGCAGGTCTTCCGATCGCAAGGCCTACTGGACTTTCATCTTTGGTCTCTCCTTCGGTCTGGTTGGCGCCATGCTGCTCATGTACTTTGCCTATGCCGGCGTGCCGAAGGGCAAGTACTGTCTTGTGCTCGACGAGCAGTTCGAGGGAGACACGATCAACAAGGATATCTGGTTCCACGAACTCGAAACCGGCGGATTTGGAAACGACCAGTTCGACTGGACTACCGATTCGACCAATAACTCTTTCGTTCAAGACGGAAAGCTCTACATTGTTCCCACTCTCACTTCGGACGCCCTTGGTGATGCAGCCATTACCAACGGCTACACCCTCAACCTGACCCAGGCTGGCACCTGCACCGCTGCCAACAAGACTGACGCCAATTGCGCCGTCGCATCTAATGCTACCACCGGTCTCATTCTCCCTCCCATCCAGTCTGCACGATTGATGACCAACTTCTCGCGCACCATCAAATACGGTCGCGTCCAAGTCAAAGCGCGCATGCCCACCGGCAACTGGATCTGGCCTGCTGTCTGGATGATGCCCAAAGACTCGGTCTACGGTCCATGGCCGCGCTCGGGTGAGATTGACATATTTGAAGGCCGCGGAAACCTCCCTACCAACCGAGACAGCGAGGGAACCAACAAAATGTCCTCCTCTCTCCACTATGGTCCCAACTACCTCTTCGACGGATACGGATTCGCAACCAAGACGCGCAACCTTTGGAGGAATTGGTTCAACCAGGACACCCACACTTTCGGTCTCGAATGGACTGAAGACAAAATCTGGACCTGGGAAGGAACGCGGGTGTTCAAAAACCTCCAAGTTGACTACGCCTCCGGGTTCTGGAAGCGTGGAAGATTCCCTAAGCAGATGGCTAATGGTACTTTGCTTAGCAACCCTTGGGCTGGTGTGCAGGGTGAGAGCAAGAACGCTGCTCCTTTCGACCAGGAGTTCTACCTAATCCTCAATGTTGCCGTAGGTGGAACAAACGGATACTTCAAGGATGGATTGCGAGATGATAAACCTTGGTCCAACGATGCTGAGAATGCAGCAGGGCAGTTCTGGCAGGCTAAGGACAAGTGGTTACCTACTTGGCCTACCGATCCTAAGCAGAGAGGTATGGAGATTGAGTACGTCAAGATGTGGCAGAAGTGCTAAGCAGCACATCTGTCGCTCGTGATTGTGTCTTTTGTAGATAGTCTTGCTAGTTTTGGTTCGGTTTCACTCCATATAGCAACCTTGCTTTCACTCTCCCTCTTCGGTCTTGCTCATGTTCTCTTTGTCCGCACGTAATACACTCTCACATTCGCTTTCAACCAAACAATTCTATCAAACGATCCTCTGTGTCCTTCGTGCTGCGGTTTGTGTTGCATTGAGGTATTCACTGCACGAATCCTGGACGATTCCGTAACCTCTGCCTCTGCCCCTGCCCCTGCCCCTGCGCCGCACCATGAAAACCCGAAGCAGCTCTACTGGACCCCAAGCCTATTCCAGCCCCCGCTACTGATCCTCTAAAACTGCCAGGGACCTCGATATGCACATCTGACCCAGGCGCACTATCGGTGCCTCCGCCTCCGCCTCCACCTCCGCCTCCACTGCCGCTATTGGCACGCAACAAAGCGGCCTGTGTAAGACTAGTGGCATGTTGAGATGGCTGCCCACCGTACACGCCAGCAGCATGCGCACGCCAAGCTTCGACGCTACCTATACCACTGGGCAGTGTCATAGCCGCGGCGCCGTTGCGTATTGATGAAGACGAACGTGAGTGTGGTGGTCGTGCTTGTCTGTCCGAGTTAACGGTGGAGGAATGGAACATTTCTTGTCGAGCTGATTCGAGATGGCCAGGTTGAATGATGGATTCGTCGGTAGGTTCGATGCCGGTGTCTACTTTCATTTGACCTGCTGTTGTTGGTGAGTCTGTTCCTGCGGCGTGGCCGTTTGCTGTCATGCCGGATAGATCTGCGTTTGCGTTGGCTGCAGCTTCTTCGCCTGCCCTCGCTGCAGCAGGAGAAGGGACAAGATTGGGAAGAGTGAGGCTCCAATATCTGGGCCAAACAAATCGATCCATGATCCACCCTCGCAATCTTGATATCAAGAGTTGTTCGATCTTGGGAATGTCCTGCAGCTTTGCCCTGGAGCCTAGCAAGCTCGTTGCTGATGCTTCGAGTGCAAAGTCTGGGTGCAGGGAGAAGTGTAGCTGATGGCGTGAGCGAGGTGGTGGTTGTTGTTGCGATCCTTTGCCTGCAGCTGGTGCAGCGGTCGGCAGCACTGTAGCGTCCGGGTCAGAGGAGAAGAGCTCCACCGCTAGAATTCCCGAAAACCTGACAATCGTGAGACTAAGCGAGACGGGCAGCACGGCGAATCGCGGCTTGGGGAAGTTGATCAACAGCTTTGTATCAATGGCAAGAGTGATCTGATCCGAGTAGTCCAGATCAATCTCTATGCGTGTACGACCAGTAACATCTGCAGGCCGAACGCGTGCATTGGTGAAGATAGGGTAGGCATCACCAAAGTCAGCCTCGGTAACGCGGATGGGATCCAAGAAGGAAGAAGAGGCGCGGTTGAGGATCTCTTCCATGAGATCTCTTGCTGTTCTCTCCTTCTCTGGCTCGATCTCGGTTGGATGGACAATATCGTTGCTGCCGAAATGAATAGCTGGTGACCCATGTCTTGGGCTAGCATAGTGAGAAGGAGGATGCGGCGAGACACCACCAGCGAGCACATCTTGACGATAGCCAGCTATCGCTTGAGCAAACATGACGTTAAGCCAGTCCGTACTCTCTGCGAGGTGAGATGAGATGTCATATGCGGTCTTGTCGAGGATGTTGGCAAAGGTAGAAGCTCGTGTGTCGGAGGAGATGCGATTCGATTTGCGCAGAGGGTTGGTGGAGCTAGAAGGTGCTGAGGCGGTGGTTGCTCTACGAGCATCCTGTAACAAAGCTTTAGCATGACGCTTGGACCGACGTTCTGAAAGCTTGAGCCGCATCAAGCGTTCCTTTTGAAGAGCGGTGGCAGAGTCTTCGAAGACGACATATCGAATGAGGAGAAGAGCAATGATGACCATTGAGATCTGACCAACGATTAAGCCCTGAGTGAAGGTCCATTTTGAGGGCGAGGGTAGCATAGAGAAGTAGGTAGCACCAGCTTGCATGGGACGCTGATGACCCATGGCATATGCCATTGCGGCATGCTGGTCTGGTTGCTGCATCGCCGCCATCGTGTGCTGCTCTCTTGGCCTGAAACTAGAAGGGAACGCAACCGAATCGGTGCTGGTCACGCTTTACCAGCTAAAAGCTTTGATGACGAACGCCCAAGACTAGAGGCAGAAAGCCGTGCACGCAACAGCCATGACTAGAAGTCGCCGAGAATGACGTCAATGAAGGCTATGTGAAAGAGAGTTGATGGTCAAGATCAACACCAAGCAACGACGTTGCACAGATTCACATTGAGACACTTCAAGAGATCGGCGATCTCTGCGGGGTGGGGGACGGACAATCGATCGGCGATTTCTGCTTTCGTCCGATAGATTTGGAAAGCGCGACACGCCGAATTGCTTGGGAAGAGAGGAGCCAAGAGGCGTTTTCTGTTGTGTGCTGCCGTTTCTTGTGGCGATGGGAGTTGAAGTTTTCGTATGATTGATGATGGTGCTAAGTACAGATGCGAGTCAAGAATTTTCAGATTTTCACTACTTGTGCATGTTCGGTGCACATGCACATGTGTGGCTGCGCCCTCTATTCCACAAGCCCTTTTACTTGGCCATGAATATTACCTCTATGCTTTGTGCAGCTTTATCTACTTCAACTCCCCCCCTCAACAGCATATGTACTCTGTTCATTGTGCTGTTGCTGTTTGACACATCCTCCATGCTTCAGTACTGTTGCATAGCTTGGGGGTCCCATACCATGCACTGCTGGTATTTGCAGATGTAGCCCAGATCATGCTTGTTGCATCGCTTGCCTCCCAATGGGCTTGGTGAGTATGTCTGCTAAGTTTTGTGTCATGTCCACATACTTAATCTGCACCTTTCCTTCTTGGACATTGTTGTGAACAAAGTGATACTTGGTGTCAATGTGTTTGAGCTTCCAGTGCTGTGCTGGGTCCTTACTCACCTGTATGCAACCAGTGTTATCTGAGTAGACTGTCGGGGTCCCTGTAGCAATGCCAATTGAGCATAGCAATTGCTTGAGGAAAAGTACCTTGTGTGTTGCCTCTGTGGTGGCAATGAATTCTGCCTCAACAGCAGACAATGATACACATTTTTGTGTTGCTGACTTCCAGGCTACTGGGTTCCCATACACCAATGCCACTGACCCTGAGGTACTCTTTCTCTGTACAGTGGCATCGCTTGCCCAGTTTGCATCACTGTGTGCAACCAGTGGCTCTTGCAGTTCACTTGCTCTATAGACCAATCCCACCTCCTTTGTGCTTTCGAGGTAGCATAAGACCCATTGGGCTGCCTGATAATGTTCCTGTGATGGTTCTTGCATGTGTCTGGTGAGAACTCCTACAGTGAGACTAAGATCAGGCTGGGTGCTGTTGGCAACCCAGAGTAGCTTGCCAACAATCACTGGATACTCCTTTTGTTGTGCTGTGCTTGCAACAAGGGTTCCCTCCAGTATACTCTGCATTGGAACCATGGTTGGCTTTGTACATTTGTCCAGGTGCTTTGCCAGCACTTGATCGATGTACCCTGACTGACTGATTGTCATGGTGTGCTTTGCACAGTCTTGACTAATTTTGATGCCTAAGAAGTGAGAGACCTTGCCACTATCTTCCATCTTCCATTTCTGGCCAATCTGCTTCTTGACCTTTAGCACTGTCTCCAGTCATGGTGCTATGACTAATGTATCATCAATGTAAATGACCACAATAGCCATATCTTCACCCTGTCCTTTAATGTAGATGCAGGGGGTGCACTCTACCTGGAAGAATCCCATGTGTCGCAAAACCCTGTCAAATTCCTGGTTCCATTCTTGACTGGACTGCTTTAGGCTGTACAGGCCCTTGACCACTTTGTATACCTGTCCAGGTGCTACTCCTGATCCCTCCAGTGGTTTCATATAGATCACTTCTTTTAACCTGGAGTTTAAGTAGGCCATTGTGATATCCAGTGCATGCACCTCCCAGTCATTCTGTACTGCTAGCACTAGGATAGCTCTGATTGCTCTGAGGGGTGCTACTGGGGAGAAGGTTTCCTGGTAGTTGATTCCCTCTCTCTGTATGAAACCCCTTGCAACCAGTCGTGCCTTGTGCTTTATGGGCACACCATCAGCATCAAGCTTTAGCCAGAGCACAACCTTAGAGTCCATGAGTGGTACTCCTGGTGGGTGATTCACCACCTCCCAAGTCCCCATTGCCTCGAGTCCTTCCAGCTCTTTTCATATTGCCTCCTTCCAGAGCTGGGTGTCCTCACCATTCATTGCCTCTCCAAGTGTTGGGTCCAGGTTCAGCACCACTGTGTTGGCAGTGCCTACTGTGCTGTCTATGGCTGGCAGGAGGTCCTCCACCATGGCCTCCAATCTGGTCTCCTCCTCCACTGTGGTTGGCACAGCACCCTCCTACTCGACTTCCATGGGCTTGCATGCCTCCTGCTGGCAATCACTCCATCCTTTGTCTTCATGGAATGTTGCTGAGTTGCTCCATTGAATTGATGTGGGCTGGTCCAGGTTGCAGAACTTCCATGCTTTGTGCTTGTTGTCATACCCAATCATGATGGCTGGCTTTGCTCTAGCCCCATACTTGCCTTGCTGGTCCTTCTGTTGAACATGGACCCATGCCAGGCACCCAAAAACTCGCAGCTGTTGGGCCAGTTTGTGTGCAGTGGTTCTGTAAAAGGCCTCATGGGGAATGGTCTTGGTGGCTGACGGGGTGAGGTTCATCATGTGTGCTGCTGCTGTGATTGCATACAGCCACAACTCTCTGGGGCAAGCTTGACCAATGAGCATCAAGTGCATCTTTTCTTGGACCAATCTGATCACTCTCTCTGCCCATCCATTTTGGATGCTGATCCCTGGGATGCTCTTTTGCCACTTGAAACCCTCTTGAGTTTGCCAGTCTTTGGCTGCTATGCTGCACCATTCTCCTCCATTGTTGCTGCAGAGCATTTTGAGTTTCCTGTCCATTGCCCATTCCATCCTGGCTATCCACCTCCTCAGTGCCATGAGTGCAGCACTCTTGGTGCAGAGTGGTTCCATGTAGATCAGAGAGGAGAAGTCATCCACAGCAACTAGTGCATAGTGGTAGTTGGCATGACCTTTGAAATCTGTCATCAGGTCTATGTGTACCAGCTCTAATGGTGCTTCTGTTCTTTCTGACTCTGATTGGCCCATCCATGCTTGAGTCTGTTTTCCTTGGCTACATGTGTTACAGCACTTTGACTCATGTCCCATTTCCTCATCAGTACCTAGGTAATGAGCCCAGATTTGTCTCATTTTGTCTTGTCCTGGGTGTCTGAGCCTCTCATGCCATAGGTAGCTGTCTCAATGCTTTGTGTCCTTATAGCCCTCTGGGGCATTATCTAGTTTTCCTGTGTTCTGGTTGTCCTCTGGGACATCATCAAGTGTCTCTTCCAACTCCAGGGCTAGTGCCTTTCCCTGCATTTCAAACTGCCCTTTTCTTCTGTTCCTCTTGTATTGTATTTGTGTGCCATCATTTTGCTTAATGATGGTTCCAAACTCATCAAAAGTTACCTGTGCACCATTCTCGATCAAGCCTTGTACTGATAATAAATTAGAATTAAGTTTCGGCACATAGAGCACATCCAATAGTTGAATGGTTACATTGCCAACCTGAAGGGAGGCATCTCCTATGGCCTTCACTTGAAGCCTTTCATTTCCAGCTGTACAGATCTGACCGTCCTTGCTCATTGAGGTGAGTAGCATTCTTTCATCATTCACCATGTGGTGCATTGCACCTGAATTGACAATCCAGGTGTCCAATGTTGGTTGCTCATCTCTGCCAATTGCTAGGAGGGTGCACCTGAGTTCCTACCAACTTGCTTCTTGTGCTGGATTGGTGGTGGGTCTGTCCATACTTGGTGCAGAGTTGTTGTTGGTGTTCGTGCAGTTGCGAGTGATGTGATTAGGTCCTCCACAAGCATAGCACTTTGGAGGGGCCAAGGGGTTGCAAGGATTGTGCCTGCCCCTGGGTCCTTGCTCCACCTGGTCCATGCTTGTGGCAACCCTTGCTGCTCCTCTAATATGGCCAGTGACCTCACCATCCTGTTGCTTCTTTGCTAATGCATGGTAGGCTTCATCATACTTACAATCTGGTTTGGCTGTCTTGAGGGCATCAACAGGGTTGGCGTAGAACCAATCTTGTGCTGTGCAGCAGTATAGGGTGGATGTCAGGGGTCTTGCGCCTGAAACCCAGGTCGGTCTGTCGAGATACTCGGTGACTATCAAACTGTGCGACAGCTATTGTCTCGGTATCGATCTCGATGAGCTTATCACTCAGCGACTATCAGTTGCGCGATGGGTGGCGTTCGTGTATATACTATCATAGGTTTCGGCTGACCTCTGTGGACACTCCGTTCAGGGGTAGCTCGGCACGATCAATATCAATGCTTCGATTATGATGACACCAAGGTCTGGTGTGAGTGTTGATGATGATGAGGTTGATGGTGTTGGTGATAAGGTTGGTGAATGTCAATGATAATGAGGTTGATGGTGTTGGTGATGAGGTTGGTGGTGTCAACACGAGTGTCCAGTGTGTTGACTGATGCTTGCCTAAGGTGATCCCTGGACTGCAGTGGACTACTGCCTTCGGTTCTATCTTGATCCGGACTGCTAACCTGCTATGGGTGCCTTCAGACATCAGGTAGTGGTGATACAACACACACACTATGATGAGGAGCAACCTTGATAGATTGCTGCTATGCTGACTGAAACTAATATATACTTATGCTGAAGTGATAACTAGTTATATGGTGAGTAGAGTGGATGAGGATCCACTCGACCTTTGATGATGAGAAAGCATGGTTATATACCTCTTCACAGCATTGCCAGTGACGCTGCTCCTGCTCTCTCTCTCCAGAGAGTACCTTCTTCATCGAGTACTGTTCAGGAGGCCTCTCCTCTTGCTTGGCACCCCTGTGTCTCTTGAGCTGTGTCGACTCCTTCGACACTGCTCCTCCTCCTTACTATCCTGCTGCTTGTTTGGCACCCCTGTGCCTCCTGAGTGGTGTCGACTCCTTTGACACTGCTCCTCCTCCTCAGGACCTGCTTGCTGGTGTCCTATACACTGCTCCTTCTCCTTTGACTGGTGACAGTTCCTTTGACTCTTGTCTCTCGAGCCCCTGAGTGGTAACCATCTGAGCTTGGTCCTCTTCGTGGCTGTGCCTGCTCCTTGAGCTTGGTCCTCCTCGTGGCTGTGCCTGGCCCTCCTCGCATATGGCTTGGCCCTCCTTTGCATGTGAGTCCATAGGAGTCCATGGTCTCCATGGAGACTGCACTATGACCATGCTCTCTACTGGTATCGACTAGGTCTTCGATACCTGTGCTCCTTCCATATGAACCAGTGACCCTCCTGCTTCTTGAGCATCCAGGCCTATGACAGTGGATTTCTTGAGGTCCTCGTCGAGTTGTTTCCCAAGTCATGCAGCATCATTCCAGATGGAGTCCAGTTCCTTGCCTAGCCTGACAACATCATGATTGTACAGATGTACAGTATGGATGTGGTCCTGCAGGCCTGCTCATTTTACTGCATCATTCAACATTAGCACCTTCTTGAGCTTAGTGTATAGTGTACTACCAAGTTGGACATGTTCATCCACACCCCTAATGGTGTATGTATTGATGCGGCTCTCTGGACTGTGATCACAGGAGGTGTGGATAAGACCTACAAGTGCCTTGTCCAAGTCCTTGTCATACCCCTTGCTTCCCAGTGCTATCTCACCATACAGGATTTCCTTTGCATTGCATACTCATTGCAGACAGTTGATGAAAGTAGGCTCCCAGGTGTGCCAGTTGCTATTGCTAAATTTCTTAATATGGGCAATTGAGCTCGAGACATCCTTGGGAATCTTTTCTGTCTCTCCTCATGGGGTTTGATTGCTAATGGTGACAAGACCCATCACCCACACTATTGCTTCCTCCACCGTCAGTGCCAGGTTTGCTAACTGTAAGATTCTAACTACCTGCATGAGCCAACCCTCCTCTCGACCATTGCCTGCAGCTGCAGCCACTTGATCATCATCTCTCTCATCCCTTCCAGTCTGCCCTGCTCTTGTTGATGGCAGCATTATGCTAAGCATTGGACTCTTGATGTGTTGAATGTTGTGGGTTTGAGCCCCACATTGGGAGCCAGTTGAAGTTTTCATATGATTGATGATGGTGCTAAGTACAGATGCAAGTCAAGAATTTTCAGATTTTCACTACTTGCACATGTTTGGTGTGTGCGTGTGTGTGCTGCTGCACCCTCTATTCTGCAAGCCCTTTTACTCGGCTGTGAATATTACCTCTATGCTTTGTGCGGCTTTATCTACTTCAACTATGGGAACGCGTTTCGCCCTGAGAAATTGGCACTTTGTTGCCACCGCACGGAAAGGGCAGAGGGGGAAAGGACAGAGGGGAAAGGA